TCAGCCTTGAAATTTATGTTTTCCTCTTACTGCTTGCCATTGAGGGTAAATGATACATCATGATAAAACAGTTTCCATAAGTGCAAATAGGCAAATACAGGTACTTCTCCTACAGTATGTTACAGTCTTTTGAACACCTCAGTGATATTTTATTGAAATATTTCAATGGAAGAGTTTGTTCTTGTTTTAAAATGTGACTGTTTGCTGATGATGTGTTTGAAGAATGAAGATAGTGAATTAACATTACATTAGTACTCTGTGCAAGACAGTTATGCTAGTAGGATTACTTATGTTGTTGTTGTTGTTTGTTTGTTGTGGGGTTTTTGGTTTGTTGTTTGTTTTTTTCTTTGTTTGTTTTCAGGAGTCCTGTACAACGTTGCTGTGTTATTTGAATCCCAAGTTTTCTGTCAAAACATACCTGGAAAGGGATTTAAGGCATTCACAGGCCTTCTACCCTCAGTGCAGCATTTTGAGGACAAAGAAGTAAATTGGAGCTTACAATAGTAGCTTTGCTGTATTTATTTTTAAAAAATAGTTAAAGGGCCTGTTTTTAATTCTCACCCAATGTTTTCTTCTGGAATGAAATAATTGAATTGGAAAAAAGCAGGATATACCTAGTAGTTTGTACTCTTTTGTCCAGTGTATTATCCCAAGCCAGGTTTTCTACAGTATGTTATTTATTGCTGCATCTAATCTGGTTTTTAAAAGTTTCAAACCATAAGGCTTTTATTATTCTCCTGGAGCTACTATTTCATCTAACAGATTTCATTGACAGGAAGTTTTTCCTGATAATCCTCCTAGCTCTGGGCTTTGTGGCAAGTGACTCCACTATTCTTTGAAATATAGGGGGTGATCAATGGATGTTTTCAGAAGATTCCCTTCCAAATTGGAAGATAAAGAGAATTTTATACAAATCGGAGAATAGATAATGGGAGAGAAATGAAAGTATCAAGCTGAATATACTTTCTGCTAGAAATATATTTTTAATTCTTGCATCATAGTTTTCAGTGACACACAATTATGATGGATAATACTCTTGAGAAACATAATTTTCTAGCAACCTAAGCTGGTTTGTTATTTAATTTCTAAGGTACTGACAGTGGAATTTCTAAAAATTAAGATTGAAAAACAGTGTGGAAAGTGAATGTGAATCTTTCCATTACTTCAGCCCTCTTCTGCTGCCTTTTGTTGCATTTGTATCCCTTATGGACTTCTGTCACATGTCATAAAGGCCAGTGTTTTACATCTGAGTCTTGCAGGTTGAGAACTGGCTGTGAAAAACAAGTCAATTATCACTTTGTTAGAGTCCCCCAAGTCATCCTTAGCAGAGTGATGCTCTTGCTGGTTGAATGTGACCCTTCTTCCCCTTCTGTGCTTAATTTTGAAACACTGTCAAAGGAATACAGCTTTGATGCAGTCTTTCTCTGCAGATGGTAGTTTCTTTAAAATTAAAACAATACATGTGTGTTGTTTTTAATACTTTTTAAGATCATTACTGTTACTGCTCAAGAGAGCCAATTATGTGATGCATACATTGAGAAATTATAGGCATCAGTAGTTAATTTGGACATCTGAAGGTGGATCTTCTTTTCCCTGAGAAACTGTGCTTGCGGCTAGCAATGTAATGTTTGAGTCACCTCTCCCCCTCCAATTTATGTGGCACAGCCTCATTATGGACATGGTTGCATAGCTGATTTTCTGTTTGTAGCATGCATTTCACAACTGCTTTGGGCTGCTTAGACCTTTTTTACCTTCTAAAATATTCTTCCCTTGCAGCCATGAATCTAGTATCACATTGCAGTTGGGAATGTTCCATCAAATGTAATGCTTAATATTCTATAACCAAATAACTCTGCTGTGGTCTTAACCAGAAAAATGTTCCTGACAGTAGTTTGACAATTCTCTTAGGAAAAGGGATAATGGTGCTGTAATCTGGGGTTGGTAAATGACATATAAATACTATGAATGCACTTGATTTCTTATTAGCTCATTTAATCTATCTAGCTTTTTAACTGTGAAATAGCTCAGCTGTCCAGAAAAAATATAATTAAGTTTTCCAGCTCATGTATACTGTCTAATTATGACTGCCCAACTATGTGTCATTTGATGCTGAGTAATATTATTTTATTTTGAAAATTCAGACTTTATATTTTGGAGAAGGTTGATCTGATTTGTATCCCAGAAGAATTACCATAGTGGTATCCAAGATAGGCATCTGCTCGTGCAGGAGTATCATTTTTATTCAGAGCTGTGTGAATTATGTTGCTGATCATTACATTTGTTGTCTTTTGTCTCTGTTGATCTGGCAAAGAAAAGTGTATGGTTTCAGAAGCTTTTTCTCACTTATCATACATAAAGGCTCCTGTGTTCACAGTGAGGATACTGGGTCCTCAGTCCCTATTGTTACTCTGTAAGTCTTAACATGTTTGGTTGAATAATTTGCTAATACATACATAACCTAAAATACATTAATATCCTTTTGTGGCTTGTTAGTCTTTAATATAAAATTTGTCAGTTCTTTGTATAAAACAGGAAGTCCATCCTGTTTTACCACTACAGTTGCAAAAGACTGAAACTTTTTGAGCTAGTCATCCAGTTCTTCCTATAAAGAAGGGTGACAGGAAAAATATCTGTGAATAGTGGGTGACCATTTTAACTGTCAGGACTTTAAAAAGGGTTTCCTTTGTAATACTGCTTTGTTTCTGTGGCTTGAAAAGAGAGTCTCTAGGAATAAGAGATTGCCCATATGTACAGCTGTTTCCATATATTATTTTAGGAAAGTACTTTCCAAAAAAAGCAAGGAGAATGTAGATGTTGTATCAAGAGAGCTGGGTGTAGGAGTTATTCAGAAGATCCATTTGTGGTGGGAGCATTGAAATCCGTTTGCTAGGTTACTCTAGTCTGGTGCAATTGAACCTTGACTCTTACCAGTGTGGACTTCAGGTTATGCTCAGACTGCCAGCCCTTTCTATGTGTCATAGTAATTGCAGCACAGAACTGTCCCTGGAGATTAATAACTCCTTGGTGGATGGCTCAATGTAGTATTACCAAGGGCATTATTCAGACTCTGCAAGAATTACTTTGATGCCTCCAACTATAATTATGCTTTAGAATGCACCACATTTTTCTTATGTTTGCAAAGTAGATTTTTCAAACTAAACTCAAAAAACTCTGGTAAATGAGCATTTATTTTTCTTTAAGAACATGTGGTGTGGAGCTAATTTGAACTGATCGCCCTATAGCTGCTCCATATTTGATAATAGTATGTTTAAAATAAGTCCTGCATCTTTATTTGGCCCATAATTAATATATTTTTTGCTATGTTGTAGGAAAAAACCCAAAACATTCAGCATGGGTTTGGAAATCCATACTTCCATACATATACTTATTCTGATTTGTAATCATCTCCTAGATCCAGCCTGTACTGTTGAGACTTCATTTGATGATCACTTAGCTGTGTCCTTATTCCACTGGCTGTTCCATGTCCCATGGACCTGTTTGGTAGCACAGTCAGAAAAACTAGTAGCTCATGTCACAAGCTATTACTGAAAGACTCAGTTGTCTTTCTGAATGCTTCTCTGCTTTCAGTGAGGACCCAAATAGCCACCAATTGATGTATAAAATATAAAATGAGAGAAGTAATTCCAATCTTCTCTCAATGCACTGGCAAAACATTTTTCCAGTCTGTCTTTCATTACTAAAGAAATCCCCTTAGGGAAAAAATCTTGAATCTCAGGACCTAAACTTCTGATTGTTAGGTATCACTGACATACTGCTGTTTGTTATTCTGATGTCAATTGAAAAATACTTACAAAATGTTCCCATCAAGTCAGCTTGCCAATATAGAAGGAGATCAAACTGGTAATAAGGTAAGTGAAGAGCATACTATTGTTTTTAAACACTGAAAGCAGCAGTGCCTAAAGAAATCAGCTAAAATGAAGTGTTTTACTAACTAAAGATACAGAAGCTAGGTTACAGGACCTGCCAGTGCATCTCATCATGTGTTCCTGGACTGATGGAGATTCTGGCAGTGCTGCCCGTGGACACCTGAGAGCACTGTGGGTGCTATCCCAGGTAGTTTCACAGGCAGCATCAGTATCAGCTCTGACAAGAAGTGTCAAGGCTCACTTTCATACTAGATAACATGAGCCTTTGCTCTGATGGTTCTGAGGTTCACACATGGGGCACATGTTTGGGTTAATAGTACAAACAGAGTGATACCAAGATATTGAGGCAGAAAATACGAGAACTACTACATTTTTTTAATCATATAATTGCTGTACTGTGATCAAAATCAAAATCCTTTCTTGTACTTGATAAGGAGGCCCACCATCAGTTAGATATGTGAAAGAATATGTGCGCTTGAACTGTTGAAAATACCAAGTGATTTTGTGAATGTAGATCTTGCATCAGCACAGTTGCTGGATTTTTAAAATTAGACATGTAATTGTTCAAAGCATGTATTGGTATTGAGCAATTAGGAATGTTTTCTGGTTTAAATTCTGAATTATGCTCTACTGAGTGCGGGCAGTTGCTATGGGGTTTATAGTGGTGTCACAAAGAAAAGACTCTTAATATGTGCTGGTGTTAGCAATGCAGACATGGGCACAAATGTTAAATGCCATTTTGTGCAGCATTCAGACAAATTTTTTAAATAAAAATGAAGGCATAACCTTACTTACTACCCTGCCTTTTTTTTTTATTTTCAGCTTTTGGGTTATTTTATCAAGCTTTTGGTATATTGCAGAAGGTTTTGAGACAGTAGATTCTTTAGTATTGAGGAACAGGTGATAATCTGTGCATTTGAAGTTCAAACTGAAGTTCATGTTTGGTTGCATGATAAAGATTACAAAATATGTGTATAAGATTCACATGGAATCTCTGAGCATGAGAAGAAAAGTGAATGTGTAAAATAAGTCAATATTAGATATAGTGAAAATCAAGTTTTCTTTTTATTAGATACTGCATTATGTTATGTGACCTAGTGTGATTCTCCTTGCAGAAGAAGGAGGAAAGACAATTTAAGGAAGTAAAGTGGACTCCCTAAGAAAATTATTTTCTACTTCTGAATTATTATGTAGAAATAAACAGGGTGGCTCCTCTGGAAGAAGCAAAGATATACGGATGCCTCTTTGCCACATATGCCAAATGAGAATGAGGTAATAAGTTAACATTTGTTCATATAGAGAAGTACTACATTAATAAAAATGAAAACATGAGGGGCATATTCTGTCCAAATCTTAGAGGCAAATATTTAAAATGCTACCTAAGTGTATAATGCTTACAGAGTAACCTGCAGTAATCACATTTGTCAGTGGTATTTGCTCTACTGAAGAGCTGCCATATTCTGACTAATAAATAAGGCGCCCTGCAAGGACCTTTGTAATGTTTTCACTGAGGCCTGTGGTAGAGGTTAGCAAAAATTAGAAAGTCTTGAGAGTATAGATGCCAGCGTGCACAGATTTATTTTGTATCATTGGGATTTTAGCCAGTACTGAATTCTATGTTACTGAAACAAGATTCCTTCAGCTACCTAACGTAAAAAGTAGGAAGGCCAGAGGCATTTTTAATCTTCTGAAAGATGAGATTAGGAATTTAATTTGTAGGGACAGGAAAACAATAGACGTCATCTGGAGGAAATGAGATAGAAGTCTGAGTCCACTTGTTAAGAACTTTTGCCTTCCTGCCTGAAAAACACTGAACTAAACTGTGATCTAGCCTATACTCAAAAATTTCCTGCATAAACTATTTGTTAGAAAACACGTGGCAGGTGATTTTATGCAATACACAGAACAGCACCCTTAAGTGCCTTCAAATGACAAGCCTGCCAGGCCTCAGATAAAGAAAACAAGCTGTCATTTTCCTTCCTACTAGCACATGCCTTTGAGGTGGAATCAAGCAAGGCTTTTGAAACAATCACATTCTGTCAGTTGATCGTATAATAATAATAGCAGGAATCTTTTTTTTCCCATTTTTCATATGAAGAATATGGTTGCCTCATTGGGATTGCTTATGATCGTCTCACTTCAGCCACTTTGAATTGGCTTTTTGCCCTATAAAGCAATGTGTATCTTCCATTTTCCTTTATTTAAAGGAACACCTTAATATTTGTCTTAGTTGCTACTGAAAAAGAGTTTCAGACATGACTCCACAGTTTTGCCACATTAGCAGTTTAAGAAACAAGTACTGTAATAGTAGAAGGCATCAGAAAAATTGATAGTGTCATAGCAGGAGGAGGCTGTAATGCAGTAAGTTGGCCAATGTAACCTTTAAGCCTTTCCTGAGGAAAGGGAAGAGAAAAAATCTGCTATTGAAAACAATGCATCTGTTGTAAGTGATGCATTTTAGGCATGTTGTTCCAACTGATTCACTCTAGTTCTGTGCAGGATTTCAGAGGATTACCTGCATGCATTCTCTTTTCAGAAGCATTGCATTTGATTATTTTTGAAAAAAAATAAATATACTGTAAAGTCAATGAGTATGAGCTTTGGCTCATACCAGCAAGACTTGGGGTTTGTTGACCATGGTTTGATTTGCAGAACACCAGGCCTGCTTGCAATGAATGGGAAAACCCTGTATCACAGAGGGAAAAGGGTATGAGGGCAAGAGTTAGCAGGGCTCATAGACAGAGCTTTAAACTAGACTTGAAGGAGGAGGGGAATAAACAAAGGCCCACCAGAGATGAGCCTAGGGGTGAAGAGACAAGGATGGGGATGAAATCAATAGCCCATCTCAAGTGCATCTACACTAATGCATTGTGCAGCAGGACAGCTATGAACATAGTTGCCATCACAGAAACATGATGGGATGACTGTCATGCCTGGAGTGCTGCAATGAATGGATATAAGATCTTCAAAACCGATAGGCAAGGAAAGAGAGACAGTGGTGTGGCTCTGTACATTAGAGAGTGTTTTGGTTGTGTAGAGCTTGATTATAGTGATGATAAAGTTGAGTGTTTATGGGTAAGGATGAAGTGGAAGGTGAATAAGGCAGATATTGTGCTGGAAGTCTGTTATAGACCACCCAACCAGGAGGAGGAGACAGATGAAGTATTCTACAAGCAGCTGGCAGAATTCTCACAATTGCCAGCCCTTGATCTGTTAGGGGACTTCAACCTACTGGATGTCTGCTGGAAATATAACATAGTAGAGAAGAAACAGTCTAGGAGGTTCCCTGAGTGTGTGGAGGATAACTTCCTGACACAGCTGGTAAGTGAGCCTGCCAGGGAAGGCACCTCACTAGACCTCCTGTTCACAAAGAGAATGATGAGTGAGAGTTGTGGTGGTCAAAGGCCACCTTGGGCTTAGCAATCACAAAATGGTGAAATTTCAACCTTAGTGATATAAGGAGGGGGGTTAGCAAAACCTCCACCTTGGATTTCTGGATGGCAGACTTTGGCCTGTTCAGGACAGTGGTTGAAAAAGTCACTTGGGACACAGTCTTGAAGGGCAAAGGGGTCCAGAAAAGATGGGCCCTCTTCAAGAAGGAAATCTTCAAGGCCCAGGAGCAGGCTTTTCCCATGTGTTATGAGATTAAAGGGCAGGGAAGATGTCCAGCCTGGTTGAACAGAGAACTCTTGCTGGGATTTGGGAAAAATAGGAGGGTTTATCACCTTTGGAAGAAGGAACAGGCAACTCAAGAAGACAACAGAGATCTCATTAGGTCATACAGAGAGAAAATTAGGAAGGCAAAAGCCCAGCTGGACCTCAAGTTGGTCACTGACATAAGGGACAACAAAATAAGTTTTTATGAATACATCAACAATAAGAAAATAGGCAGGGATTATCTCCATCCCTTATTGGATGTGAGGGAAACATTGCAACCAAGGATGAGGAAAAGGCTGTGATTCTTAATGCCTTCTTTGCCTCCATCTTTTACAGTCAGACCAGCTTCCCCCAGGGTGTTCAGACTGGAAGATAAGGATGGAGTGCAGAACTAACTCCACATAATGCAGGAGGAAGTAGTTAATAATTTGCTTCTGCACCTGGACACACATAAATATATGGCGCCTGGTGGGATCCACCCTAGAGGACTAAGGAAGCTGGCAGGGGAGTTTACTAAGCCTCTCTCCATCATTTATCAACAATCCTGATCAACAGTGGAGGTCCTGGATGACTGGAGGCTGGCTAATCTACAGAAAGGCCAGAAGGAGGATCTGGGGAACAACAGGCCTGTCAGCCTGATGTCAGTACCAGAAAAGATCATGGAGAGGCTCGTCTTGACTGAGCACACATGTCAAGTGCAGTTCTAGGCCTCTCACTATAGGGAGGACATTGAGGTGATGGAGCATGTCCAGAGAAGAGCAACCAAGCTGGTGAAGGGTCTAAACAGCAAATCATATGAGGAGTGGCTGAGGGAACTGGGGTTGTTTAGTTTGAAGAAGAGGATGCTGAGGGGAGACCTCATTGCCCTCTACAACTACCTGAAAGGAGGCTGTAGTGAGGTAGGTGTTGGCCTCTTCTCCCAAGTAAGTAACAACAGATGCAGAGGAGATGGCCTGAAGTTGCACCAGGGGAGGTTCAGATTGGATGTTAGGAAGAATTTCTATGCCAAAAGAGTGGTTGGACACTGGAACAGTCAGCTAAGGGAGGTGGTTGAGTCAGCATCCTTGGAAGTATTCAAGAAACGTGCAGATGTGGCACTTCATGGCATGCTCTAGTGGCTGAGGTTGTAGAGTTTTTTGTGGGAGTTTTTTGGTGGAGTGTGTGTGGTTATGTTTGTTTGGATTGGGTTTTTGTGCTGATGGTTGGACTTGGTGGTCTCAGAAGTCTTTTTCAACCATTCTGTATGATAAGAAATGGAATTAACTACTTAAAGAAAATGTTGTCTCCACATATTAAAATTATTTCATCTTGGGCTTGAAATAGATGAGTCTGATTTTGAATTCACAGTGAACTTCTTTATGAATTCCAGTTACAAGCATTTGGAATTATGTTGAACTGCTTCATACATCTATAATAATTTTGACTGTCTCACCTCTAAAAAGTAAATAGAAATCTAATGTCTGTACTTATTTATCTAATGTAGATTCTTGTGTGGTCTTTATTATCACCAGAACTGACAATCTTTTAGTGATTAAATACATTTTCCTCATCTATACTTGTGACTGCACAAAGAAAGAAACCAGGCTACATAGATGAAGGGATTTGCCTAAGATCACTGAAAGAAGCTGTTGCAGAGCAGGACTTAGGTCCTCAGTTCCTTGGTTATTGCCATTTAGTTAATCTGTTTAATCCATTAAAGACTTGATTAGTCCTTCTGTATGTGCAGAATTCCTATTAAGTCAGAAGACTTAGAGACTTCCAGCTGTAACTAGCAAGAAAATAATAAACCAACATAAATCAAGTTTACAGTAAATATTCTCTCTCCAACCCAGGCATTTCAGGAAGGAGGGAACAAGATAGCCCTGTGTCAAGTACAGACATACAAAGATTTATTTTGAGTGCAGTATTCATATGTGCCCATGTCATGGTTGGCAGGGGCCAGGGCTAATTTTATTATATTAATAAGAGAGAGAGCATTCTTTCAGGACATTGAGGGATCCAGGGGGCAGCAAAGAGTCAGGTCAGTGTTCCCTCCCCTTTCCTGCCATGCCCTATAAAATGTGATTAGAGGTCTTGAAGAGAGGCTTCTGCTTCTTGTCTTAAGCTCACCACATGTTCTGCAGGATCTGACTCTATTAGGTGCTGGGAAGAACCGTGGACTGTTTCCTTGAGCCAACTCTGCAGCAAGAGATTTTGGACGCTTATACAGAATCATAGAATGATTAAGGTTGGAAGGGACCTTAAAGATCATCAGGTTCTAACCTCCCTACTCTGAGCAACGACACTTCACACTAGATCAGGCTGCACAAGTCCTCATGCATCCTGGCCTTAAACTCCTCCAGGGTGTGGGCTTCAACATCCTTCCTGGGCAACCGATTCCAGTGCCTTACCACCTTCATGGTGAAGAATTTTTTCCTGATGTCTAACATACATCTCCCCTCTTTCAGTTTAGAACCATTACCCCTTGTCCTATCACTTCTCTCTCTGGTGAAAAGCCCCTCCTCAGCTTTCCTGTAGAATCATTGAATCACAGAATCATCCTGGTTGGAAAAGACCTTGAAGATGATCAAGTCCAACCATAACCTCAATCCACCAACCATAACTTGATCTACCCGTTCAGTGCTTAAAACATGTATCTGAGAACCAAAACTAGATTTCTTTTAAACACTTCCAGGGATGGTGGCTCCACCATCTCTCTTAGCAGCCTATTCCAGTAGTTGAGAGATGATCAAGCTTTCTCCAGGGACCAATAGAAGGTGCCTAATACCTATGTTTTGGCAGCAGAATTTGTTTCCAGAACTGGTGGTAAATCACTTGCTGTAGGCCTCTAAGGATAGGTAGGTAATAAAGTAACAAAATATGTAAAAAAACATATCTAGAGATCCAGAGTTTGCTATTTTTTAAATAAAAGAGAAAATTCAAATAGCACTAAGAAAACGTATGTACGAGGCTGCATAGGCAAGGATAGCAGTCTCATCGTAATCTGGCTTTAAGCCCTTAGGTACTGTAAACCTGTTTTTTCAAAAACCCAGATCCTTGTAACACCACAGAGGTTGAAGAGAAGCCAAGAGACTCAGTTAATTTGAAGCTGATGCCAAGCATAACTATTTGATAAAATTTGCCTGAAGAATTTAAAAAAGATCAGTAATTTTCCATAATCTTTGCCTTTCCATTTATATTTTGAGCCTATACATCCTGAAAAATTAGGTTGAGGAAGAGGATTCAGAGTTAAATTATGTGGATTTTTTGAAGTATGAGACTCTGCCCAGCTAGTGGATTTCTTTCCTTTTTTCTCCTCCAGGTTCTGTAATCCATTTAACACTGCCTGAAGATGATTTCACACTAGGCAGCTCTTTGTGGCTAATAGCCTGAAGCCTGAGACTTGGGGGAGACGGAAAAATTTAGCCTTTAATCTTTTTTTTTTGTTGTCACTATCTCCCTCCTTGACTCCCCATCAACAGCATTTTTGTGAAATGTAGTGTCTGAAAGTTGTAAAACCTGTTAGTGTATCTATAGCATGACATCATTTAGCTACAGTAAAGCTAAAGGTTTAGACAAGACTTTAAACTTCTTCACTCTTGAAAGTTCACATCAGGCTTGTGCCAATAGATTTTTTTTTTCTATACTTACAATTAATGTCAATGATACACAGTGAAAAAGAAAAACAAACCCAACTCAGCAGTGATCCATATTTATTAATCACCTTTTGTGAGTTTGTCATGTAGGATGGTGAAGGGACTAAACAGAGGAGAACTGGTCAGTTTCCAAATACACCCTCATGAAAGTATGCTGGACTTGATTAAAGTAATTGGTAGTGCCCTGTCATATCATGCAGGAATGTAATTTTTCATGGTATGAGGAGAGGTGCATTTCAAAATCTCTACCAAGATTTTTTTTTATATAGGCCTGCTCAGTTATCTCTATATAAGGCACTCTTGACAGTGTCTAAGGCTTTCTTGTTGCTATTTAATTGCTTCCACATAATTAGCAGCTTAATTAGGATCACCATCCACTAGTGCTGTAGCATCAGCCTAAACTGCTTGTGAGGTACTGGCTAGAACTTTCAATAGCTTCCAGTTCCTTTGTGCGCTCCCACTGAGAAGGAGGACTGTCACAACTCCTGTTTTTTTTTCTGAAGGAGTTTTCTTGTTTAAACATTATCAGGGAAAGCAGCATTTACTGATTAGACTTCCATATGCTGTTGTGCAGCCAGGATAGAGAGATACAAAGCTCATTTCTGGCATGATTATTGGCAAACTGGAGGTTGATTACTGCATTTTTGTAAGCTGATTGAAGGGAATTTGAAACATTGTTTGCATTGCTAATGAGCCTTAAAATTGTGGAATTTACATTCTGAGTATGACAAGCACATCTTGGTAAAAGCAAAAATACATTTATTTCTGTTGTCGTTATAGGTAAGAGTTGTCTCTGAGCCATTGCCAGACTGTGTGCTTCCTCCCCATCTTCTCTCTGCAGATTTGTCTGTTGGGGGGGGGGGGGGGGGGGG